CGCCTGCGCACTAAAGACGGGACGTCGGGGGCTCAACCCTCCCGGGGGCCGCTGGGGAAACTGAGGCCTGAGACCACTCTCCAGGGGCGGGGGTGGTAACGGAGGGTTCATAGGTGCCAGGCGGAAACCGAGGCGCAAGGCTCCTGCTCTCAGGGGGTTAGTGCTCCATCCGAGGTCTCCCCTTAGGACTGAGGCCCGGGCCTGGGGGCGCGGGGAGTTCGGGACGAAGGGGGACAGAGGCCCGCGGCCAGCGCGGAGGGAGGGACACAGAGGCCTCCCGGGAGAGAAGCGGAAGCCCGGCGGCTGCGGGCCCGAGGGCGGGAGCAGCCCTGCGGCGCGGGCCGGGTCCGCGGGAGGCCATCTCCGGAGTCTGAAGGGTTAACCTCCATTACTCGGGAGGGCCCTCGGCTGAGTGATTGCTCTATTGGGCCGGAGTGAAGTACGCCCGCCCATTGTCAGAGGTTTATTCACCTTCAACCAATAAGCAGCAGTTGCTTGACTTGCTCTAGCCAATCAGGGTTAAGCCGCTGCTCCGCCCAACTCCGACTGAGCCAATGGGCAGCTGTCGCTCTCGGTCAATTACCATGAACTCAGCCTCATTTATCCAATCAGTTGTAGGGTTTGGTCTGGATGGCCCCACCCTCCGCGCAGGCTGGCCAGGGACGGCGGGGGGCATCTAGCGGCTGCAGTCTGTCTTTTGTCCCAGGTCCCTTTGCCCCGGAGCGCAGTGCCACCTCCCAGCTCCAGCTCTCGGCTCCGAATCTTCCCAGCCCTCGGCAGAGCTAGAAGCCCGGGGTTGGGGAACCCCTTGGGTTTACCCGGACCCCAGTCTGGAAGAGGGGAGAGGAAATTGGGGGTAGGGGTGTCCAGCCAGGGTGGTGTGGAATCAGACTGGACGTGACTCAAATCCTGATATCACGCGCACTTGTGTGACTTTAGCCAAGTGACTCCAGCTCTCTGCGTCCCCGTGGGGATAATAATTCCACTTCAGGTTTAATGATCAGGGCTTGACAGAACGGGATAAATGTGAATTATTGTTTTCTTTTTGTCCAGCCCAAGCCTCATTTTGGAGTCTCCCCACCAACCCCCACCGCGGGTCCAGCCACCAATTTGTCACCACCCTGCTCCCTAAAGTCTAGCTTTAGTTTACTCTCCATGTCCTTGCATACTTTCCCTTCAACTATCTTCCAAAACCTAGGACCCTTGCTATCTCTTTGGGCCTCAGGCCTCCATACTAACCCCCAATACAGTGGATAGAATGTCTGTCTGCGGACTGAAAGGTCCCAGGTTCGATTCTGGTCAAGAGCATGTACATCGGTTGCCAGCACATCCCCGGTAGGGGGTGTGCAGGAGGCAGCTGATTGATGTTTCTCTCTCATCGATATTTCTAGCTTTCCGTAAAAAATCAATAAAATATATTTAAAAAAAAAACACAAAAAAACTATGATCACCTCCCTTCCCAGCTCTAAATCCTTCAATGACTCCCCATTGCATTTGATAAATAAAATTAAAATTAACTGCTACAACTTTATTAACCATTTATGGCACCCCTTTATGGCAGTCTTGTTATCAACTTTATTAGACAATTCAAGATGAATAGATTGCCAGAGTCACAGAGTTCTCCAGTGGATTCCAAAGGCTATTCTTTGCTATGTGTATAAAGTCCACGCAGACTCACCCTATAACTATGAAGGACATTGAGTGTGCAAGTTTAAAACACTCAAAAAAAGAAATTTCCAGCCCTGCCCAGATTGCTCAGTTGGTTAGAGCAGTGTTTCCCAACCTTCTCTCATGATGAGAATCACCTGGTGGAGTTGTTAAAACACAGATTCCTGAATCCCAACTAAGAAGTGCTAAACTAGAATTTTGGGGAACATATAGGTAAAATTGTATACTTAACTAGTGCTCTAAGACAGATTTTATATACAGAGCACTAAGTTAGGTATGCAATTTTACCTATATGTTCTCAAAAATTCTAGTTTAGCACTTCTTAGTTGGGATTCAGGAATCTGTGTTTTAACAACTCCACCAGGTGATTCTCATCATGAGAGAAGGTTGGGAAACACTGGGTTAGAGCTTCATTCCAATGTGCCAAGGTTGCAGGTTCAATCCCTGGTCAGGGCACATACAAGAAGCAACAGGTGAATGCATAAATAAGTGGAACAACAAATCAATGTTTCTCTCTCTATCTTTCCCTCATCCCCCCCCCAAAAAAATCAATTTTTAAAATTCCTTTAAATCTCCAGGTCCAGATAATTTTCCTACCAAAAGTTCAAAGAAGAATCAATACCACTTTTATATAACCTCTTCCAGAAAATTGGAGGGAGCATTTCAGTTCCAAATTCATTAGGCTAAACCAGCAGTAATTACCAGGATACCAAAACCAGATAAGGATGGCCCAAAGAAAGAAAACTACAGACCATATCCTTCATGAATAGGGACAGAAAAATCCTTAACAAAGTATTAGGAAATAGAATTCAGCAATATATAAAAATAATTATGCACCATGTCCATATGGTGCTTATTCCAAGGTAGGTTCAGTATTCAAAAATAAATGTTATCCATCATATTTAACCGGCTGTGGTGGGCAGAATAATGGTTTCCTAAAGAAGTCCCTCTCCTGTTCCCTAGAATCTGTGAATAAGTGAGGTTACATGGTGAAGGGAATTTGAGGTTGCAGATGGAATTACAGTTGCTGGTCAGCTGACTTTAGAATGAGGAAGTTTTCCCATGGTAATCACAAGGGTCCTTAAAAGTGGAAGGGCGAGTCAGAGAAAGGAGACAGTGGGTGAAGTTAGGAATGATCCGGTGAATTGAGGGTTCTACCTGGGTTCCTGGCTTTGTAGATGAGAAGGGGGAGCATGGGCCAAGGAATGTGGGAAATCTCTAGAAGTTGGAAAGGGCGAGGGAAACATTCCATCCTTTCAGCCCCCAACAAGGAACGCAGCCCCACCAATCCCTTGCCTTTAGCTTCGGAGATCCGTGCAGGCTTTCTAATTACATGTGAGATAATACATTTGTGTTGCGTAAGCCCCTAAGTGTGCCAGGAATTGTTACAGCAGCCATAGGAAACAAATGCAATGGCTGAAGAAGAAAAGCTGCACAATCATAGCAACAGATGCAGAAAAAGCACTTCACAAAATTCAACACCGACTTATATTGTAATAAAAACTCTTAGCAAACTAGGACAAAGGGAGACCACCTCAGCTTAGTGGAGAGCATCTACAAACCTTCAATAAACATTGTACTTAATGGTTAAAGATCGAATACTTTCCCCTTAAGAATGAAAACATGGAAGAAAAAAAAAAGAATGAAAACATGTGCCCTAGCTGGTTTGGCTTAGTGGATAGAGCGTCAGGCTGCGGACTGAGGGGTTCCAGGTTCAATTCCGGTCAAGGGCAAGTGCCTGGGTTGCAGGCTCAAGTCTCCAGAAGGAGTCCGGCAGAAGGCAGCTAATCAATCGATGTTTCTATCTCTCCCTTCCTCTCTGAAGTCAATTTTAAAAATTAAAAAAAAAGAAAAGAATGGAAAGATGTCCATTGTCACCATTTTTTTTTTCAACATAGTAGTGAAAGTTCTAGTCAGTACAATAAGGCAGAAAAAAGAAATAAAAGTAGTACAGGTTAGAAAGGGAGAAATCAAAATTAGCCTAATTTGCAGATGACATGATGATAAATGTACAGAATTCCAAGAACTCTGCAACAAAAGCCTCTCAATTAATAATTGAGCAAGTTCAGCAAGGTTGTAGGTTACCAGATCAACAGACAAAAATCAATTGCATGTCTGTATACTCGCAATGAATATGTGAAAATGGGAATTAAAAATTCCAAGGACAGGCCCTAGACTCAGTTGATGAGAACGTTGTCCCAATACACCAAGGTTGTGGGTACAAGAATCAATTAATGAATGCATAAATAAGTGGAACAATAGATCCATGTTTCTTTCTCTCTCCCTTGTTCCTCTCTCTCTTAAAGAAAAATATGATGCATTGCTCTGGCCAGATGCTAAGTGGTTACTGCATCAGCTGTGCACCTAAAGGTGGCAAGTTCAATTCCTGGTCAAGGGCATGTTTCTGGGACACAGGTTCAATCCCTGGCTCCCATTGGGTCCAATGCAGGGGGCAACCAATTGTGTCTCTCTCACATTGATGCTTCTCTCTTTCTCCCTTCCTCTCTCTCTCCCCCCACCCCTTCCATTCTCTCTAAAAATCAATGAAAAAATGGGTAAGGATTAACCAAAAATAAAAATACAAAGCTAAAAAAAAGTGTTGTTTTGTTTTGTTTTTTGGGGGAAGGGGGGCTATACATAGGTACAGTACTTGTATGCTGAAAACTACACAAAGATTTAAATAAATGAAGAGACAGACCATGCCCATGGACTAGAAGCCTCGACATAATAAAAGTGCCATGTCTCCGCCAACGAATATACAAGTTTAGTGCAATTCCTATCAGAAACCCAGCAAGATCTGGGGCTAGATCTAGGCACCGTCATTCTGAGGTCCAGCCGTCCTTCTTATTATGTTCCTGTTGTGAACGCTCGTTACATCCCCTAACCCAGTGGTCGGCAAACTCATTAGTCAACAGAGCCACATATCATCAGTGCAACGATTGAAATTTCTCTTGAGAGTCGAAAACCAACTTCTGCGCCTAGGCCATCAAGTTTCAATCGCACTACATGTGTGCGCCCACACGTGGTATTTTGTGGAAGAGCCACACTCAATGGGCCAAAGAGCCGCATGTGGCTCACGAGCCGCAGTTTGCCGACCACGGCTCTAACCAACTGGGAACCACACTCTTCCTTTCTCATTTCCAGGCCTTTGCCGAAGCAGGTCCCTCCTCCTGTGTGCAGTCACGCAGTCTCTGCTCCACACTGACACCCTCCCGTGGCTCCTCCCCATCCCAGTCCCGATGGCCTGCTGCTCTCTGACCTCTGGGAGAGACCAGAGTCTGGGATTTCCCTAGGATCATTGGACCTGCCCCGGCCCGCCCCGCCCTGCCCAGCACTGGCAGGGGAGGGGACTCGGGAGCTGACAGTAGAGAGGAAATTCCCTTGGAACCTGTTCCTCTGCTTCCTGGCCCCGCTTGTGCGCTGGAGGAGAGGCCAGGCCAAGGGCCCAGCCTGCCATGGCCTCGGCCCTGAACCCACCCCGGGCCCCCAAGCCCAAGTGTGCCCTGCCCTCACACTACCATGAGAGCTTTCTGGAGAAGAAGGGCCCCCGGGACCGGGTAAGGTGGGGCAGGGAACCAGTGAGGCACCTCTCTGAGCCTCGATCCTGCCACCTGGCCGAGGAGGGCGGGGTGGGTGCGCGATGGGTCAGGGCATGGGCCGGCGGCTAGGAAGGGTTCTGTCCGTCTATCTGTCTGTCTGTCGTCTGTCTGCCTGCCTCTGTGTCTCTGACTCTTATTTGATCTCTTTCTCTTTGTCTCTCCCAGCCTGTGTCCGTCTGTCTCTCTGGTCTCAGTCGCTGTTGTTTCTGTCTGTCAGATACAAACAGGATCGGGACTTCCTCGAGGAAATGAGGAATTAAATGAATTAGTTCCCCTTCCCCCAGCCCTGAACTTTGTGACCCTGCGCTGCGGGGGACAGGGTTGGGACAGTTGTGAGGACAGTAAGAGCTGGTGGCAGCCTCGTTCAGCAGGACCAGATACTGCTGGCCAATGTGCGTATGCGGTCATGGGTGTGTGTGTATCTGGGTGTGTGTGTGTTTGTGTCCTGATCAGAAACAAGCCCCGCCTCTTGGTTCCCTCTAAGGCCCCATCTCTCCCTCCACACTCTCTGTATTCATCCTCTCCTCCTAGAACCCAAACCAGCCACCGCCTCCTCTTCTTGGGTCTCCGTGAGCCAAGTTCCCTCCCGCCCGGAAAGCACCAACAGGCAGTCACCCATCACCGTGCCACGGCCCCAACGTGCCAGGCCCGGGTTCACATCCACGCTCCACCCCTTTCTGACTCCCAGGCCTTCTAGAGTGATTCTCCATCTTCCTGCTGTAGTTCCCTCTGTTATAAAATGGGTAGGATAGGGCCACAGACGCATTTACATATGTCTTCAGTCAATGTTAGTTAAGTGTATGAATGTATCTATGGATGGATGGATGGGTGAGTGAATAAACTGTCCATATAGGCTATCCTCCTTGTCATTGCAGACTAATTAAAGTGGTTCCTCCTTCAGGAAGTCCTCTCAGATTTTCCAGTTGGAGGGCTACTGTCCTCCTCGGTGACCTCCTGGCCCAGGGTCTGTCCCTCTCCAGGGCCCTAGTCTTTCTTCCTGGAGGATCTCAGTGTCTGTGCTTTCTCTGTCCTCTGGAACACGACATATTAGAAACAGAAGCCGTGTCCCACTTATTATGTTGCCTGCAATAGAGCTGGTTGCTGCGGAGTAGTTGCTCATGGAATATTTGGTGGAAAGACCCTAGAATCTTACAACCTGAGCTGTATCAGCCCCTTAGACATCCAGAAAGTTAGGGCATTTGGAGTTCATAATCCTGGCCGGTGGGGGAGGAGCAGGGAGGACTCTGCAGACCTCCTAGAGTCCAGAACCCTGTGAAATTCTGAGGCGGCGGCCTCAGCACCTATCTGAGCACCTGGCACCTAGGAGATGGGGTGGGTCAGGGACCAGGGGCATGTGTGTGTGTGTATGGGTGGCTACATGGGTGGGTGGATGGGTCAATAGGTGTAAGGGTGGGTGGGTGGATGGATCATCATAAACCCAGTTACGCCACTGATTCCAAGAACAGACCCCATCCTATCAAGGTTCCCTTTGGTCATTTACCAGAGACCCCCAGAGGCTGGGCCATGAGAGCGGAGGGCCTCCCTAAGAAGGCAGCATTTGTTCCAAGACCCAAAGCACAGGAACTATGTGGAAATCTGGGAGGCAGAGTGTCCAGGCAGAGAGAGCAGCCACGGCAAAGGTCCTAAGGCCGAATGGGTGGGTTGGAGGCACCCAGTTGGCCAACTCACCTCGTTCTCTTTCTCCCCCTCTGTTCCCCAGGATTACAGGAAGTTCTGGGCTGGCCTCCGGGGCCTCACTGTCTATTTCTACAATAGCAACAGGGACTCCCAGGTAAGGATCCGAATGAGGGCCCAAGAGCTGGCCCAGCCTTGCCCCCAGGGACCAAGCAGAGGGTACCGGGTGGTGTGGCCAAACCAGGGGGCCTGAGGGACCGCAGGTCTGGTGCTCAGACGCCTGCTTCTGTGCCCCCAGCACGTGGAGAAGATAGACCTCGGAGCATCTGTGAAAGTCACAGATGGCCCTGGTGTACATTTTAACCTCTTCGTCCGGGACCAGGAGATCAAATTCAAGGTAAGTCCCTTGGGGGGAGGAATGGGGCTGGGGGGAGAACCTGCTTCCCCATCGCACCCACCATTAACACACACTAGCAAGGAGTCACACAGAGTCTAACACTGGGGTTGGTGATACCAGGCAAGTCACGTGATCTCTCTGGGCCTCAGTTTCCCCAAATGCAAAGTGGGATAATATATATTAAGTACCCAGAACAAGATACAATACACAAAGATCATCAGTGCCATCATTCAGTCTTCCAACAAATATTAATGAGCACCTACTATGTACAGACTTCCCTCTAGTTGCACAGCAGAGGGAGGGAGGGAGGAGGTGAAGGCTGGGAGGGGACTGAGCAGGTCGTGCAGGGCCTTGTGGGCCATGGAGAGGACTTGCTTCCACCCTGAGGGAGGCACATGATCTGAATCACTTTTTTTTAATGTCGGGGTGATAACATTAAAGCATAACAATCCACATTAAGGACTTATATTCAGACATCATCCTAAATTAACCTGTCATAACTAATTTAATCTCCAAACAGCCCTTGGAAACATGAACTGTTCAATTCCTCACTCCCATTTCACAGACGAATAGACTGAGCCTAATCAAAACGGCTTTTCCCTCCCTCCCCAGGTAGAGAGCCTGGAGTCTCGGGAGATGTGGAAAGGCTTCATCCTGACAGTGGTGGAGGTCAGAGCGGTCCCCCTGCCCCTCTCTCTCCTACTCCGCAGTAGTCCTCCTCAGAAACCCTCTTTTTCCTTTCCACCCTTCACTCCCCAAATAAGCCCCCAGAGTCTCAAACAGGTCTCTCACTGGCCTTCGACAAACCGAATGTAGTCTATAAACATGTTTTGTTTTTCCAACGAAGTGCTAATTTGGTTTTTTATATTTTAAATATTTTATTGATTTTTTTTTTTTTTTTTTTTTTTTTTTTTTTTTTTTTTTTTTTTTTAGAGGAAGGGAGGATAGAGAGAAACATCAATCGGCTGCCTCCTGCACACCCTCTACTGGGGATGTGCTGCAACCAAGGTGCATGCCCTTGACCAGAAGGGAATCTGGGACCCTTGAGTCTGCAGGCCGACGTTCTATCCACTGAGCTAACCCGGTTATGGCATGAAGTGCTAATTTAAAAGTCAGCTACCATCACTTAAAAACCAGGATTTTAGTCAACATTCCTAATGTCTATTTTACTCATTGGTTTCCTACCTGACCCCTGCAGCCTGGAGAGTTTGAGACTACATTCTAGCACCGGCTCTGTCCTCCCCACCACTGAAGTCTCTCTCTGCATCCGCTCAAAACCTCTTTGCCCTTGAAGCGGTAGGCAGCTCTGGAGCCCCCAGGCCCAGGTTCCCATCGTGGCTCTGTCCACACTCTGCCTTCTGTGACATGGGCGCAGCTGCCCATTCCACCGCTGCCCTGATCGCCCCTCAGCTCCGGGTCCCGTCCAACCTGACCCTGCTGCCCGGACACCTGTACATGATGGCCGAGGCCCTGGCCAAAGAGGAGGCGCGCCGCGCGCAGGAGATGCCCTCGTGAGTGCCGCCCCGCGCGAGGGGCTGGGGTGGGGGTGGTGTGAGCGGTGTCTCTAGTTGGGTCTTAAGGTGAATACAGGGCTGCTTCGTGCTGCAGCGGGGTTAGGTTCGGACTTGGTGTTTGGGGGCTGGTCTGGGCCCCCAGTGGAGGGCCTAGGTGCCTGGAGGACTGGACTGTGCGCTTTCGGAAACGGAACGGGGGCTGGGGCAGAGCAGGGCCTCCTGGAGAAGGAGGTGAGGTTGGGTCTCCGAAGGTGGCGATTCTAGGTTCCCTGGGGAGGGCCAACATCTCTGGGGGAGTCCTAGCTGGTTTGGCTCAGTGGATAGAGCATGCGGACTGAAGGGTCCCAGGCTCGGGGTTGCGGACTTGATCTCCAGTGTGGGGTGTGCAGGAGGCAGCTGATCAATGATTCTCTCTCATCATTATTTTTTAAAAATATATTTTATTGATTTTTTACAGAGAGAAAGAGAGAGGGATAGAGAGCTAGAAACATCGATGAGAGAGAATCATCGATGAGCTGCTTCCTGCACACCCACTACTGGGGATGTGTCCGCAACCAAAGTACATGCCCCTGACCGGAATCGAACCCGGGACCCTTCAGTCCGCAGGTTGACGCTCTATCCACTGAGCAAACCGGTTTTGGCTCTCTCTCATTGATGTTTCTATTTCCCTTCCTCTCCCTTCCTCCCTAAAATCATTAAAATAAATAAATATATATATATTAAAAAAAGATCTTCAGGGGAGGGTCTAGTTGCTTGAGGGGCCGGGCTGGTCCTCCAGGGGCGGGTCCAGGTGCCCAGAGGCGTGGCCGGTTGGCCAGGACCCAGTAACCAGCAGGAGGCGAGACTCAGTGTTGGAAGGGAGTGGGGATGTGAACGGGGGTGTGAACAGGGTGTGTGAGTGGGGCGGGGCTGTGTGTGTGTGGGGGGGGGCGGTACGCACGGGAGGAGGCCCGTCCTGTGTGAGACTTGACCCTCTGCAGGTGCTTCCTGAAGGTGAGCCGGCTGGAGGCGCAGCTGCTGCTGGAGCGCTACCCCGAGTGCGGGAACCTGCTGCTGCGACCCTGCGGGGACGGCGCGGACGGCGTGTCCGTCTCCACGCGCCAGACGCTCGGCGGGTGCGCAGGCGCGGCTCGGAGGCCGCGGTGGGGTGGGGTCGGTGGGGGCGTGGTCAGACGTGGGGGCGGAGTCCCAGCTGGGAGGGGCGGGTTTGGGGGCGGGACCAGAGGTCAGGGCAGGAGGGGGCGTGGCCCTGAGGGGCGGGGCCTCCCTCGGTCGGAGCCCGGCACCCAGCCGCCCGCTGCCCCGCAGGTCGCCGCTGGTCCGGCACTACAAGGTGAAGCGCGACGGCCCCCAGTACGTGATCGACGTGGAGGAGCCGGTGAGCAGCGGGGCGGGGTCCAGGGAAGCACACGGGCGGGGGCCGCGCCCCTCCCCAGCGGCCCAACCGGACCCCTTATCCGCCCCCAGGTCTCCTGCGCCTCACTCCAAGCCGTGGTCAACTATTTCGTATCGCAAACCAAGAATGCTCTGGTGCCCTTCCTCCTGGACGAAGACTATGAGAAGGTGCTAGGTGGGTGAGGACCCAGGGCCCAGGCCCGCCCCTCCCGCCTCCCGCCTCCCGCCTGACGGGACGCCCTCCGGTCAGCCCCGGGCGGGCCGCTGCGCCTCCTCCAGGCAGCCCTCTCTGTTCTAGGCTACGTGGAGGCGGATAAAGAGAACGGCGAGAGTGTGTGGGTAGCGCCCTCCGTCCCCGCGGTCCTCTGCCCAGGTGATGCCCCTCCCCAAGGCGGCCCCTGGGGCAGAGAGTGGGGAAACCTGGGACCCACGTGGTGCCTCCTGTGCCCAATCTTGTACCCAGAAATTACCCAGACCCTGCCCTCTGGGGACTTCCAGGTTGTAGAGGGGGCAGACAGAGCTGGATACAGACACTCCCAGCCCTGTGGGATGAACCTAGGGTTGGTACAGTGCCTGGAATAGGGGAGGAAGAGAAGAGGGGAGGAGGGGGGCAGGGTAGGGGGAAGGCATCCCGGCGGAAAGGGTGTTTGCTGAAGTTCCCACAGGATTTCAGTAGGCAGAGATGGACCGGAGGGGGACAGAAGGTGACGTGTAAGAACTACCCTGAGATGGGAAGTTGGGGAGAGTGATGGGAAAGGCATGGCAGGCAGTCCAGCTTGTGGAGCAGGAGGAGCAGCAGTATGACCCGCCCTGGGCTGGGCAGATGGGGGAGGGGGCATTATGTATCTATTCATGTGCACATGCCACAATCACCAACACAGATTGTGTGACCTGAATAATCAGACCCATGTAGACACAGCTCCACACATGCATGAATGCCTGTGTCATGATTCTATTCCATCTAGCACACATGCATACCTTAAGCCACAGTTATGTGTACACAGCACAGATTCAGACACTTACAGACACCTGAATGTACGCATGGAGACAAGTACCCCAGCACAGACGTTAGCATCCATGCACCGTTACACATATTTACATTTAACTTATTCAAACTCACGCAGTGTTCATGTTTATGCTACACGGGGACTTATAAATGGACATGTTTGCAGACACATGTGCACAGGAACCCTTGCCTGTATCCAGGCATGTACACACACGTTCCTGCTCAGAAGCACACAGACCCACCCTGAGGTCTCCCTGCACCACGTGGGTCCCCAAATCACTGCTGTTTCCCACCCACCAGGTGCTGCATCCCTTGCCGGCGGCCCCAAGCAGCTACCTCCGGTGCCCGTCATACCCGCGCCCAGACAGCACACGCTGCCCCCGCTGCTGAACCCGGATGAGGACTATGTGATCCCCATTAAAGATGCCCCCGTGACCGACTACGAGAACAAGGATGGTGGGTGGGGGGCCGGTGGGGCTGAGAGAAGGGGCAGGGGGAGCAGGCTCACGGCCCATGTGGCACCCGGTATCTCTGTCTACGCAGTGCTTTCTCCTGGTTGGCCAGAGGTTCGGAAGCCCAAGCAGTGTCCCCCGGCCCCAAGAGTTCAGGCAAAGCCACACACTGCACCCAAGCCAGGTAGGGGACCCTCCTCCCCAGCCCCTCCCGCATGCGTGGAGGGCCATTCTCAGCCTTTACCTGCCTTCTCCAGAGCCCAGGGGCCTTCCCAGCGGCCTTGTCAAGAAGCCGGCCATTGGCTCGGCACAGGGTGTCTCTGCCACAACAGGTACGGGGCTGGGGGCGGGGGGCTGGGGGCCGATGTGGGAGGCGTGTGCGCCTCACAGGCCTGGGACCTGTGCGGTGACACAGGGCCCAGCACTCTGAGGGGCCTGCGCTTGGCCTATGCTCCACTGTCTCCATCTCAAACCCCTCCGGCCTCTTGAACACTTTTTCATCTCCCGCTGGGGCCCCACATATTTCTGCAGCCAGTCCCAGTGGGTGGGGTGGGGCAGCATGGACTGGGGATTTCTGGGTGCAGCTGATGAATAGGGTACCCACCCCCCAGGGTTGGCCAAGGTGACCGCGGAGCTGGAAGAGAAGCTGCAGAGGCGGCGGGCCCTGGAACACTCAGCCGAGCACTCCGAGGACTAGCGGGCCAGGCTTGGAGCCCATGTGGCACCCGGCAGTCAGATGGTCCCCTCCTCCCAGAATTAAAGTTCGAGTGACCGAGGCCGTGAGTGTGACGTGGCTCAGTGGGGCAGGGAGGGGTTCATCGGCTGGCTCCACTCACTCCTTAAGGTCGGCAGCTCAGGTGAACAACATAGACTGATGAACAAAAACAGACTCAGAGAGAGAGAAGCACCGAACAGACTCTCAAACCTCAGAGGGAAGGTAGGGGAGGGTGGGGGTAAAGGGGAAGAGATCAACCAAAGGACCTGTGTGCATGCATATGGGCCTGGCCAGTGGCCATGGACAACGGGGGGGGGGGGGGGATGTGTAGGGAGGGGTTTGGGATGGGACTGGGGGGATGAGGACAATCATGTGATACCATAATCAATAAAAATAAAAAATAAAAAAGATCGGCAGCCCAGCAAACACCGCCCTCTGACTCTGCCAGGAAAGCCCGTTTCACAGCGGGGAAGGCGGAGGTCCAGAGAGGGCGAGGCGCAGCCAGCGCCTCCCGCCCCGAAGAACCAGCAGCACCCCCGGCCAGTGTCTGACCTTTATTGGGAAGTGAGGGGGAGGAGGTCCTGCCTGGGGCCCACTCCCTGTTGGTGACCCTTGTTAGGAGTGAAGGCTCCGAGCAGCAAGTGAGAAGAGGGTGCCTGGCTGAAAACAGCCGAGACGCGGCGGTGGCCCCCAAAACCAGCCCCGCCGGGCACGCCGGCCTAGGTGAGGCTGGTGTTGGAGCTGCTGGTGGCACTGCCTCGCTTCTGCAGGCAGCGCACCGAGCTGGGGACCTGCAGGCCCGTCGTCACCTGGAAGCTGCCGCACCAAACCTGGGAGACAGGGAGGGGGAGGGGGAGGCTCGGCAGCAGAGCCATCACCCAGAGCCACACACCCCCACCCCCACCCCAGGCCGTGGACGGGACCTTACCGTGAAAGCAGGCAGCAGTGGCTGAGTGAACTTGGCCTTGAAGGTGTGCAGCAGCTGCTTGGTGCGGGCATTGTAGAAGGACAGGAGGCCTGGGTGGAGGGCAGAGGGGCGGGGACAGTTAGAGAGCTTGCGGCAGGGAGATCGGACGGGCAGAGGTGGCTGGAGGGGCCGGTGGGGGCCCAGGGTCACCTTGGTGGAAGTCGCAGTGCACGCCCAGGCAGTCAGGCACGGGGGCGTCCAGCACCTTGGCCTTGTTGGCATGCTTGGCGGTGAAGCTGACCTGCAGCCAGTTGTTGATGTGCAGGCACCAGGACGCCGCGGTCTTGCCCAGCTGCTCGAAGCGGCCGAGGCTGCGGTAGGCCACCCCCACGCCAAATGCCTTGCTGTCCGGCTCATAGTGCACCTCCCAGTAATGTTCCCCGCCGTCGATCAGCGTGTCCCCTGTGGGGCAGGGTGGGAGTGAGAACGGGGTAGGATAAGGTCCCAGGTGCTTCCACAAAGGGGCAGCCACCTAGGTACTCCCCAGACCACAGCTATTCCCTCCAGATACTCCTTGGTCCCCAGCTATTCCTTCCAGGTATTTCCCAGGACTTATCAGCTTCCTCTAGATCACATGTGTCAAACACAAGGCCCGCGGGCCAAATCCGTCCCGCCAGGCCTTGCCATGTGGCCCGCACTGCGCTGTCATCACTGCACTCCGCTGCGTTTCCATCACAATGACAGTTTATGACTGTTCAGTAAACCATTCGGCCCTCGATTTAGGCTGGATTTTAGATTTTGGCCCCTTCTCTGATTGAGTTCGACACCCCTACTCTAGATACTAAGTCCAGATTCTCTCCGAGCTTCCACTAGTCCTTTCAGATTCTCTACAAGCACAAGCTACTCCTTCCAGATACTCCCAGGCCTTAAAAAAACCCTTCCAATTCTTCCCCATGCTCAGTTACTCCTCAGCCCTCAATTCTTTCCAGAAACTAGATAATCCCCAAACCTTTGCTCCTGGCTGATTCCAAGCATTCCCATAGGCCTCCAGTCCTACTGGAGTCCAGACACTTTCCAGGACTCTAGACTCCTTCCCGCTGCTCCCCAGACTCCCAGTTTGCTCCTGGGGTGGAGACCAGATTCTTCCAGACCTCAGCTTCTCTTCCCCTCCCCAAGCCTTCCCACCTTCCCTTCCCACCAACCAGCACCACAACACACGTTACTGGGACCATTCCCAGAGAAGCCTTGTTGATGGCTGCCTCAGTTTCCCCAGCCACAGGAGCCCTGGCCAGAGTTCCCCGCTCTCCTCCCCGCTCCCCCCTCCTTACCTAGCACCGTGTAGGATTCAGCCGTGAAGCGGTCCCGTCCCCCACGACCTGAGGATGTCCTCTTGGGAGATGGAGTGCCTCTGTGGGTGACAGGGCGGGGAGCGCTCAGTTCAGCCCTCCCTCCCACACCAGGATGCTTCCCTGGTCCCCGGGCGCTGCGGACTTCTCATCGGTCCTCGGCAGTACTTGGTCCCGTTCACACACTGGGTCCCTGCTGTCAGAGCATGCCTGTGCCCTTGCTTGTCTGGAAAACCGTGCAGCCGTCAATACCCAGCTCAAAGCCTCCTCTCCCTTGACCCGCTATTTTGGCTCCCCGGCTCCCGGTCCCTCCCTCCACCCAGCCTCGCCCACACGGGGCTGTGTGTTCACGCCATCTTGACCTCCTCTACCAGAGACCTGGGGGGGGGGGGGTGTACCTGGCTGGGGAGTTGACGGGAGACGCCGTCCGCCCCTTGCCATCTTTCTCTCGAGCTTTGATATCCTGCACCTTCCCGCCCATGGCGTCCCACTCCACAGAGAGCTCGTCCACCCGGAGGTTCTGGTGGGATGTGGATGCATCCAGGCGGAACATGAACGCTGGGGCCGGCAGACGCGGGAGTCACAGAGATGGGGAAACCCGGAGAGACACAAAGACAGAGACCAACAGTGACCAAGACAGACCAGGACAGGGACAGAGAACAGAGAGAGACAAGACACACAGAGAGAAAGACACCGATAAAGTCTCAGAGACAGACGGATACAGAGACCACAGGCAGAAAGACAGCAAAAGACACAAGACGGGGGGGGGGGGGGGGGGGGGCAGCCAGAGGAGTGAAGGCAAGGGCTTGTTGTCAAAGGCTTCCCAGGCCTGGGGCCGTTCCCAAACCACTTGTGCTGCCTGTCCTTGGGGATTAACCCCAGGAAAGGGGTGGGCAGCCATCGGACAGGTAAGCTGGACTGGAAAAGGCCGTGCAGAGGTCACCGTGGGAGGCTAGGACGCTGTCCGCACCATGACACACTCCCCAGGTCTACAGAGCGCTTACTCGTTTGGGGGGCGAGGAAGTGTGTGTGAACCACCCAGGTAAAAAGGGCTCAAGAGCAAAAGTAAAGGACAAAAGCAGGTTTACACCAGACACTCAGGGTGCGGACTTCTACTGTGGACCAAGCTCTGAGCTTTCTGGCAGCCAGGGCCAAAAGGACCACAGAATCCTGAAGATCCTCATTTCACCGCAGTCCCGGGGGCCCCAGGAGTGAAGGGTGATAGTCAGAGCCAGGAGAGGGGCGGGAGCCAGTCACCTGGTGTCTCCAGGGTCACTGGCTCGGAGAACTCGCCTGCAACTGCCTTATTGCAGGCCTTCACACGGAAGTTCATGTACTTCATGTCGAACTTGAGACCTAGGAGACAACCGAGGAAATCTCAACACAGACTGTGAGCAGGAGGTTAGAGGCCCGAGTCCCACAGTAAGCCTGCTACAGCAGAGCACCTTGCAAACGACATCTTAACCTCTCAGAAACCTTACCCACATACGCCTGTGGAGCTATGAATTACTGCGCTCTGCACCCAACCCAGACTGGCCAGAATCTTCCCTAGGATGCTGGCTGGTACCGGGAGCAGAGCAGAGCTGGCCAGTTTGGAGGAAGTGCCTCCAGCGGCTATTGCCAGTGCTCTTGGCTAGTCTCCTGGAGAATGCAAGCCCCAGAGCCAAAAAGTGCAACCCCTGGATCTAGCCATACCTGGTTACTTATGCCCCTTCTGGTTGCTCCCCGTTGGTGTTTGCAGGCTCTCCCTCCCCTCTCCCGGTTCCCACCCCAACTGCCTCCCTGTGGATTCCCTTCTCTGAATTCAGCCGTTTGCTCAGCAGCGCCATCTACTGCTCCAGAGCTAAGATTGCCACTCAGAAGGCTTGGATTCAAATGTGGAACATGGCCTAGAGTCCCTCACTGTGTGCCTCAGTTTCCTCTTTGGCCAAAACAGAGATCACATTCCCCATGCTGAGCAGGGCTCACATGAGGATGAGATGAGTTGAGAAATGGAAATCATAAACATTTAACCAAACCCCCCCTGTCTTTCCAAGCAATCAACGAGATAGTAGGTTAATTGCAAATGACCACATGGGTTATTTCCATAGGTGAGCACATTCACATATTCCTCAATACCACATAGATTCCACTATCTACCTAATAGATTCCACTTCCTACCCTGAGGACTCACTCCTAGGAATTTTGTAAAAGGCGAGAGAGTGTGGCGATAAAAAGCGTGCATCAGAAAGCCTGAGACAGAGCAGATCTATACCTGGATTGTGGTGGCAGCGACAAGAATTTGCATGTGGGTTAAACTTGCCTATGGGATTACACACACACACGTGAATGAGGGTGCGTGAAACTGGTGAAATGTGAATCAACACCAGAATGTAGCCATGTCAGTTTCCTGGCTCTACTATTGAACTACAGCTATGTAAGCTGCCACTCCTGGAGGAAGTGGGACATACCCAGACAATGGTCAGCCTTAAAAAAGGAAGGAGTGCCAAAACCAGCTGTGAATGTACTTAATGCCGCTGAGGTACAGCCTAAAATGGATAAGCCCTGCTGTGGTAGCTCAGTGCATTGAGCGTTGTCCTGGCTTCTATTCCCGGTCAGGGCACATGCCTGGATTGCGGGCTTGATCCCCAGTACATCTCTCTCTCTCCCTTCCTCGCTGAAAACAATAAAAATATATTTTTAAAAATGGTTAAGATTGGACAGGAGCACGTCCAAGCCCTTCTTTCCCCGTTTCTCAACCCAAAGGACCCCAATTGCAACCAGGGCAGCTCATCCAGGACTAACCCCCTCACCCCCCGAACCTGT